TGACGCAGGTATTGTACACAGGTAAGTTGGGGAACTAGGGATCGAGCCCTGGGATCTATCTCAGCTACCACGAATTGGTGAAAACCGTTTCATGTCTTTATTTCATGTGCTATTCTGAACCGCCCTCCCATGTGTACTGATGCGAATAATTCGGTTTCGACAGCCCTCGGAACTGGTACTGTATACTGTAGCTGTAGCTGTGACTATGTCACTGGGTTGATGTTAACTTGTTTTTTTTTTCGATTTCCTTCCCCTCAACGATCGTTTGTTCTCTCTCTCTCTCTCTCTCTCTCTCTCTCTCTCTCTCTCTCTCTCTCTCTCTCTCTCTCTCTCTCTCTCTCATTGTTATTGTTGTGGGGAGTCTGGGGACATTCTGTATTGTTGGTCTGTCCACGTCTCGATCTATCTTGTTTTGGCCACCCTTTTCTTCGCCGGTGTGACTTGTTGTGGCTGCATTTCAGCTGCAGGCCAAGACAGCTTCTGGCTTCGTATTTCTGTTCTGAAGAAGATAAGGCTTTGGCCGCCATGGCCCCTGTAGTTGCGGAGTCCAAACGTTTCGTGCAGTGTCTCGAGGTGGTGGAGGTGTGAAACGACTCACGAAGCCATTCCTGTCATTCATGAATTGCATGAACAACTTTAACGATTACATCTTTGTCCCATGTTGCAGCCTGTGTTCCCAAAACGATTCCGCCCATACTGCGCCTGCCTGTGGAGGTGAAGCATGATTAGTTACATATCTCGCAAATCTTAGACAATGTGCGGGAAAGGTGCAAAATCTCTTGGTTGGGGTGACTGAAAAGGCAGAAAAGAAAGCAATGTCTACAATCATGCTCTTTCCGAACCTGCATCCCTTGGGGTATGCAAAGGCCTTTGATGAAATGTGTACAAACACTGTGCATGAAACCAGCTTGATGAAAATTTATACAGCCTCATGACCTGCTGATGGGATGTGTTTGTGGGTCCTGATATGTATGTTTTCTTGCTTGTGCTTGTTTCATTACATTCCGTCTAGACACGCTTCTCGCCTCCGTTCCTCTTTGCTATTTCTTTTTAGATCTTTCCTGTTGTTTGCTGATAGATCCCACCACATCCATGTGAAAATAAGTGCACCTTCATTTCCTTTCTGATTTTCTCAGTTCCTTTTGAGGCTAAGAAATCTGTTGTTTCGGTGACCTGTCCCTTTGTCAGAGTTTGCCTGCCTCTCTGCTTTCTTCCCTTTTGGGGGGGGGGAAGGTAAGAATTGCTGGTTGGAAAAGAAAACTTGGGGTGTTCAAATCCTTGATTGAGTGTGTGAAAATGCTGTGGAATCAATTATTATTTTCTTGTCAGAGTTGCCTCTTTCGTCAGTTGGATGCGTTTTGCAGGTCTTATCTGTACTATGTCTGTTCCGCAGTTCTGTACCGCAGTTCTGTACTGTCATGCTTCTCGCATTATACTCCATTACCTCTTTTGCATTCATTGCCGGATCCCAATGTTCTCTGTTGTTTCCTCATCCCACGAACCGATGACAAAATTATATGCGCACCTCTGTATTTCTTTGTTTCATCATTCCCTTAACGCTTAGAAATATGCTGCGCGCCTCTCTGCTTTTGTCGTTTCTTTTGCCCTTGGTATTTGTCTTGTTTGACTGTTTCTGCTGCATTAACTGACTGATTGATAGTTGGATGGATGAACCAATCAATTAATTGGTTGATTGCTTTTAAGGACCCATTGATTAGTGGGGCAGTTGACTGGTTGATTGGTCCGTCTCCACTCTTGAGGCCAACATTCTTGTCAGAACTTGAAAGACTAGGGCGGGGTGAGGGCAGGCTGTGGGTGGGTTGGGGACGGGGATGGGGACGGGGACGGGGACGGGGATTGGGATTGGGATGGGGAGAGGGGAAGGAAGGAAGGAAATAGAACTAGATGGAATTTATTAAGATCAAATCCAATGTGAAATTATGGATATGTCATCAAGTTCTGCATGTGGAAGAGAGGGGGATGAAATGGAAAGCCAGTGACTCCTAGCTGGCGGTTGGCTCATGCAATTTTGCGTCTGATACATTTGTGATTTTGACCTTGATGCAGTGGCTTTGATGCTCTTCCGTTCTTGATTTATATGGGAAACGAATCTACGTAACATCCATCCAGGTTTTAAAAAGAAGTGAAGGCGGCCTGCTCACACCATCTAGTCCACAGAATGTGGTGGTGGTGGTCAAATGGAGGGATGGCAATGGCAGCCCTTTCGCACCATCGAGTCCGCGGAACCCAGTTGTGAAGCGGAGGGATAGCAGCCCGTTTGCATTATCCAGAGGGAACGAGGATTTCAATACACAAACTCCAGAGGAGATTATTGGGATTGCGAGGAGTGGTTCATGCAACGGCAAGTTCAATCGTTCTCCGGTACGACGAGGATGACTTGGCTCATCCACAGCCCCATGACCTACAGTCGATCACAACACAAAACCATTATAAAATTAGAGCCGCCTAAAACTTCAACATGAAAAGCAAAGAATGACAATGGAAGCCAGTATCACTAGGCAGAGAGCAGCCTGGAGAGGGGAAGGGGGACCATAAACCAAGAGGGGGAGGGGGCGGGGAGAAGAGAGAAAGCAATTCACACAGGTAGGTTTTAGTTCTTGAGGAGCTTGAGGGTGATGTTGGCTGGGTACAGCCAACAGGTTGTCCTGTTTTTCTTTGTTTTGGACGTCGATAAAAATAGAAAAAAATGGCAAAAGCAAAGCAGTTGTTTTGTTAAAGGGCTGAAGGCGAGAGGAGAGAAAGCACTTGGCATGGGTAGGTGTTGGTTCTTGAGGAGCTTAAGGGTGATGTTGGCTGGGTAGAGCCAACAGTCTGTCTTGTTTTCTTTCTTTTGGACTTGTGGTTACAAATGGCAAAGCAAAGCAGCTGTTTGGCGCAAGGGCTGAAGCGAAGCTCCATTTCCCCCAGTTAATCTACTGGTGCTGTCCGCTAGGCCTTTGCCACTGGTTCAGCATACCCGGCAAGCATCCAAACTTTCCCTGCCCTGCCACAGTTACTTTAAAGGACAACTTTGGAAAGGAAGGAAAAGCATTGTGACTTTGTCATGTCTGAAACAGTCCCTGGTGTGTACACCATGTGGATGGTGAAAGACATTCTGATGCATGATCTGCATCTTCATGCTCCAGACGGCTAGATGCAGATGATCGGGCCTGTTACGCAACTCAATGGCCTCTTGGATGTCCTTCCTGAATGAAATTGTGAGGAAGCAATTCGCACAGGTAGGTGTTAGTTCTTGAGGACCTTGAGGGTGATGCTGGCTGGGTACAGCCAACAGGTTGTCCTGTTTGCTTTGTTTTGGACGTCGTCGAAAACAGCGAAAAATCATACTTGCGGCGCATAGATGAAGTGCGCTGCGCAGTGCACGGTGCGCTAATCGCCGATGCGAGTGCCGAAAAAAAAGAAAAAAAGAAGCAACAGTGATGTGTCGTGATGTGTGTATACACACTGGGAAGAGAGAGAGAGAGAGAGAGAGAGAGAGAGAGAGAGAGAGAGAGAGAGAGAGAGCACAGAGCCTTTTCACATTGTTCAGACAACCCCTGCCGGTATTTCAAAAGGTCCCTGCCAAAAATTGGCAAGGGTCCCGTCGGCAGGAGACGGGTGGTCACTGGAGGGGTTGCCACTGGACTTGTGGTAAGGAGGGAGCAGGCCAGCTATATATGGTGTAGCTTCGAATTCAGGTCCGTGTTTCAGCAGTTATGGGTTACCGACTTACTAACTCGGCATGTGATATTCAGGGCTTCACTCCACTACTCACTGTATGTGCAAAACTAGAATGAATCTTCTCAGAGAAACTGGAATCTTACAAGCCATACGTTTTTTTTTCCTGCAAGTGCTGATGAGTGGAGCGAGGTCCTTAGGGCCACTGCACGTAAGAAAAGGAAAAACAAAATAACGACACAGCTACTGTATGTGCAAAACTAGAGTGAATCTTCTCCTAGAAACTGGAACCATACAAGCCACACATTTTTCTTTTCTGCAAGTGCTGATGAATGGAGCAAGGCCCTTAGGGCCACTGCTTGTAAGAAAAGAAAAAACAAAATAGCGAGACAGCTACTGCATGTGCAAAACTAGAATGAATCTTCCCCTAAAAACTAGAACCATACAACCCATACGTTTTTCTTTTGTGCAAGAGCTGGTGAGTGGAGCGAGGCCCTTAGGGCCACTGAAGAGGAAAAAACAAAAAAACGAGACAGCTACTGTAGTGTTTGTAGCAAGTTCGTAACCCATAACTCTTGGAACACAGACCTGAATCCGAAGCCAGGATATATTGCTGGCTTGCTCATATTCCTCCAGCAGTTCAAATCATGTTCTTCCAAATGAATGGGATTCCCGCTAATTCTTTGCAGGGGACCGTGCGGAAAATTTACTAAATCCAATGAGGAGTACAATGTGACCCGAAAATATTCTCTTTTTGTGCATTTACAATTTTTAAAAGGGAGGGACACTTATGGGTACCACGGCCTACCCTTTCTGATTAAAAAAAAAAAAATTATTGTGCAAATGCACCGCATCACGTGCGTGCGCACTGTGTGCGAATGCGCTGTGCGGCGCACGTGCGCAACTTGCGCACACGTGATGCACCGCAAGTATGCAAAAAATGGCAAAAGCAAAAGAGTTGTTTGGTTAAAGGGCTGAAGGTGAGAGGAGAGAAAGCAATTGGCACAGGTAGTGTTGGTTCTTGAGGAGCTTGATGGTGATGTTGACTGGGTCGAGGCAACATGTTGTCCTGTTTTCTTTCTTTTGGACTTATGGTTAAAAATGGCAAAGCAAAGCAGTTGTTTGGTGCAAGGGCTGAAACGTGAAGCTCCATTTGCCCCAGTTAATCTACTGGTGCTGTCCGCTACCTTCTTAACCCCGAAAAAAATGTACGTACGTTCTATTCGAATTACCTCTGGAAATCGGGTTTTCAGAAATCGCTTGTTTCTCCCCGAATAGAACGTGCATTCGAACATAACGTACGTACGTTGTATTCGAATACAACGTGCGTATGTTGTATTCGAATTTTCGGAACTTTGATTTTCCAAAAGTAATCAAAAAAATCCGAAAAAAAAAATGTTATACAATAATGCAATACAAACAACGTTTGCCTGAGGGTCTTATCGAAATTCACGAGAAAATTCGCGAAAAAAATAAAAACGAGGATGAAAATGTGTTTTACAACTTTTACTGTTTTTTTTCAGAATTTCGATTTAAAAAAAAACTTCAGTAAAAAATCCGAAAAAAAAGTATGTTGTACAACATTGCAATGCAAACAACTTTTGCCTGAGGGTCTTGGCAAAATTCCCAACAAAATTTGAGATAAAAATAAAAACAATGGCGGTACTACAGACTTCTGAAAAGTTGTACCCTAAAAGTCGTTCTATAACGTACGTAAGTTGTATTCGTATACGAGGTACGTACGTTTTTTTCGGGTTAAGAAGGTAGGCCTTTGCGACTGGTTCAGCATAGCCGGCAAACATCCGAACTTTGCCTGTCCTGCCACAGTTACTTTGAAGACAACTTTGGGAAGGAAGGAAATGCATTGCGAGTTTGTCATGTCTGAAACAGTCCATACACCATGTGGATGGTGAAAGACATTCTGATGCAAGATCTGCATCTTCATGCTCCAAACGGCTAGATGCAGATGATCGGGCCTGTTATGCAACTCTCTAGCGTCTTGGATGTCCTTCCTGAATGAAATTGTAACTTCAGTGGTTTCACGCTCGATCCTGGGCCTGTCCGCACTGCACATCAAATGAGTAAAATGTGTGTGTATCTTGAGCTAGAAGGTGGAATGGTACACCCTCCATGTTTTCTTGTCTGTCGTTTTTGCTCTGGTTGGCGGTGCGGCTTGCTCACACTCCCGAGATTGTAAAAGCATACTTGAGAATATGGGTAGGTGCATTGTGCCACAGACGGATGGGACTAGATTAATACATCGGAATCCCCTATATGTGATCTGCCCTCTGTTTGTATTCCTATCGTCTCCACTCTTCAGCTGGCGAGTTTCTCCAAATGTCTGTCATTGTGTTCTGGAGTGTGGTTGGATCGTCTGAGTCCATTCATTTGAATTGCAGTCTGAGGTTTCGATGTGCACATGAAGGTGCCATGTTTAACATGGGGGTTCCATTTGGTTGGGGTATATGAAGGTGTGCTACAGTATTCTGCGCTGCCGAAACGTGGGCGAGTTGTCATACATTTCCATTCGTTGCAACTGTTGTTCTTTTGCTAGTACGAACTGAATCCACCCCGCTTGTTGCCTGCAGGTACAGACCTACTGGAACCCCCGGGGGCTTCCCTGGGGCTGTAGGCTGCCACGAATATCTGCCAAAGAAAAGAAAAGGGGATTGTGCTGTTTCACTGACTGGCCTCCGTCCTGGTCTGGGATATGCACTTCACTTGTTGCATGCAGGACATGTATATTCCAAGGATTGGGGGCCGAGGTGTATCGTGGCCTTTTGACCACAAAGAGAACCAGGACGGAGGAGGTATGCTTCTTCTTCTTCATCTTGCTTTGTTCTCTTTTTCCTGTTTTGTTTTCACCATGACGGAGGTGTGCTAAAATGGACCGAGTTAAACATGAGAACTCATTCCCTTGCTTGCAGTCCTTGGCTTTGTGTCTCATATGCTATCAGCCCTATGATCCGTGCCGAGCTGCAGTACACGGGAAGTAATCCAAGTCGAAATTGTTTGCGACACTGGTTATACGCGTTTGTTTGTTTTGGCAGCTTTGACCAAGAGTGCTGATGTTTACTGAGTGCATGATAACAGGGAGCATTAATCCCCGAGTAGTGGGACTTCTCTCAAAAAGGCATTTCGGACGGAGCAAGGTGAACTTGAAAAGAATCCAGCCCCCGTGCAGGTGAATTAGCACCTGCATTTATTACAAGAGAGGGAAGTTTTCTACCGTCTGTAAACCTCTACGGCGTTTGAAACCCATGGCCCTTCAGGCTGCCAAGATGCTTTCAGGGAAATGCAAGGGCTACTGGGGCAGTTTTCACCCACTAACCCATTGGTCTGCTCAGCAGGTGGAGGAGGATTGGCTCCAACTGTTTCGAGGAAACATATTTTAGGGTCTTCCTTGCCCCCCAATGCTTGACTAATAGATGTTTGCTCACTGACAGTAGAAGAGAGACCCTCTACCCACTCTTGTGGCTGAATGGTACACGTACGTAGCTGTTGGATGTACGAGAAGATTGTGACTTCAAATCCTGATTGGTACAGTGATGCTAGCGGGTAACCCACTTAAAAAATTGTAAACAGGAAAAAGAGAGTGTTTGCCATGGGAATCCTGGCATGTGGATGGGATGCTGAGAAAAGACTAACCACAAAGGAAAAGATGTTCTAGCGGAAAATGTTGCAAACTCGTGGTGCACATCACCACCCCTTTTTCTGCCATAAGCGAATGGACAATTCAGTCAACCAGTCATGTTGTTGATGGTGTAAGCTTGCATGCATTAAATCGGCTCGGGAAAGCACCACCCTACACTCCGGTTGGGTTTCCTAGACCTCCTAATAAACAACAGTCAGAAGGGAAGAGTTAAGAACGCACTTCTGGAGATGCTTGAATTGAAGCAGGGTTGATTTCGTCTGTAAAGCAGGAAAAAAAGGAGGGCCCCTTTCTTCATGGTTGCTGGTTCTCTGACAGGCTTCTGGCCTGTCAGATAGGCAAAGTATGACACGGTGCTGATGTGGCATGGTGACGGGACAGGTCTGATCATGACGAACGGAATGGTGGCGGAGAAGAGGGACAACACTGTCAGGATCTTCAAGAAGACGAAGCTGAAGGGGCTGGAAGATTTGGGAGAGGACTGGGTGAGTTAAACCAATCTCGCACCACCGCTCTTGCATACAGACAGTCTTATCTCTTAGGAAAGCATGCCTGCTCCCTCAGGAAGGTAGGGATGCATCACCGTACACCTTAGAAGAACAGGGGAGAGAGCGACCTGTGAGTTCAGGCACAAGTACACACGCAACATGTACCCCAAGTGAAAATGCAATCTCAGACACATTCAATGTCTGCCTCGACAAGTTGTCTGTGTGTTCATGTACAGGCTACTTGCCAAGGAGAAAGAACGTGATGGGAACCTAATAGGATGCTCAGGTACTGGCCATCTGCCAAGGAGAAAAAACATCATTAGAACATGATAGAATGCGCCTAGAGATTGGGAATAAGGGAGGGAGGGTGGGAGTGAGCCGGGACCAGTAACCGAAATAAAGATAACGATGGTCTTGCAGTTTCTTTTTTTTTTGTGGGAAGAGTACACAAACTGCCCCCCCAAGTATGCAAATTGAAGGAATGCGGTAATTATGGCCGCCTCAAAAACCAAGTTCGAATATTCAATTGAAACAGCTTTTTGCAGTTTAGAACTTGAAATGCAGTCTAGTCGTGTAAGTTTTGGACAAACGCCACATTGCGAGTGGCCGAGACATCTCGGCTGTGACCCAGCCAGAAGGGGACAGGTCAGGCCTGAATCTGGCCCAAACCGCCGCCAGATGGTTTTCCAGGGCCTTGTAGGCCCTGGCCCTCGTCACTTGGCGCAGGAAAAAATCCAGAGCTGAAAATTTTTCTCACGACGAGTGAAGTGGGCCCCACAAGGCCCTGACCCTCCTCACTTGCCACATCTGCCGCAAAAAAGAAATTCAGCTGTATTATGTGACACAACTCTTCCAAGCTCTAGGCCATCAAACTGAATGTCAAGTTCCACCGGGGACTATACTGCAACTACCTTTTTTCATTGCAAAACGAAACTAAACCCCCCCTGGCGGTCGTAATTATTGCTGGAAGAATCCATAGTCCAGTTGGAGAACCTGGATGTGGACCAGCGGAAGCCTAGGTGCATTCTGACCTGGCTATTTCTTTTATTTGTCGTATGCTATTTCTGTCTTTCATCCATTTCTGTATCAGAAGGAAAGTGGGTCTTCTCACCTGTCAATTGATGATTAGTGATGCTGTGGGGCATTGAGCCGCTGGCATTGTGCGCGCTGTTGCGCAATACTTCAGCAAAGACGCAGAGTTCGTACGCTTGAAGGGTGGTGAACTCGATGTATAGCTCTTTTTTTCTCTGAGGAAAATACACCAAAGGCAGCATGTTAATCTAACCACTGCCCGCTGTTGCGTGCTACTTCAGCACAATTGCAGAGTTTGTAGGTTTCAACGTTGGTGAACTTGATGTGTAGCTACTTTTTTTTTCTGATTAATAGAAAGAAAAGGAATCATTTTACTAACGATTGCCCACTGCTGCTGGCTACTTCAGCAAAGTCGCAGAACTCGTAGAGTTTTCTTTTTTGTTTTGAACGCTAGTGAACTCGATGTGTGGCTTTTCAGATGAAAAGAAAGAAGATGCAGCAGTTTACTCTAACCACTATATGATCGTTTGCCTCGGGCCCCACAGAATCTTAACCCGTGGTCGCAATTCAGTTGCTTTACGATGCCACAGGTGGGCGGTGGGGCCGGAGTGAGGCTTTGGTAGACATCCTCCCTTGCGTTTCCCAAAGCGCACAGCTGAATATTTTCAGCCGAGGGGCCAGTTAAAAGAGCCCTCGGCAGGTACTTCTGAGAGATTTTAAACCCAATTCGCAAACTTGCAAGTTATTCCGTTTTCCTTTTCAGGCTATGAAGAATATCCCTTGCCTGTTAGTTCGGCCGTGGAATACCGGAATCCATCTTATGGCTGGGCCTACTCTGTGGTGGTGAAGCAATGTGGTTGCTTATACCATTTCGGCTTGCAGTTTCAGGGCTTGATCGCATCATGAAGGAGGGAAGTACAAGTTTGCATCGGGTCAGCCTGTGAGTTCGAATCGCGCTGTCTGGATCATCAACCGCATGATATTCGGCTGTCTTTGGGCACATAGAAATATGGTGGCACATCAGAGATACACTACCCTTGCTTGATAGTGTATGCTGTGCGCCTAAGCACCTGCAGCAGCAGGAGAGCTGGCCTGGAGAGGGCCTTTCTGACGGGAAGGTCATTTCAGGCATAGTAATTTGAATGTGGACAATCAGTGTGGCCGATTATGCCTCACATGCTGTCATTTCTTTTTTTTCTTTCTTTCCCTATTTTTTAAATCTATTTATGTAAGCAAGAACCTCTGTTGAGGAGATTGTCACTTGCAGAGGTGATAAGAGCACCTGATCCTAATTACAGACACTGATCCTACACTAGTGTCACCACCTAACACTAATCCTACACCCATATCGTCACCAATTAATCATAATTACATGGACAACCAAGTTGATGAGACTGAAAAAAAGAGCTCCAAGTTGTCCGGCCCATTCATCCCCGCCATGTCTACCACCACAGCCAGGAGGGCTCGAAGGCAGCGTGAAACTCAATAACCCTAGTCTACTGTGAAAATTAACCCTGATCTAATGTAGAGTTTTGCACTCATTAACCCTAACCTAAGCAGCAAGAACAGTCTTGCAGATATCAACACAGTAGCCGTAATCTAATTAGTAATTAGAATTAGTGGGCCAGTAAACCCCAGCTTTCTTTTTTTTTTCAAACAAGAACGCCCGCTTTATATTCTGGGAGGGTTCCAGTCTGGTTACTTATCCCCGGCAAGCATGAGATAACAGGCCACGGAAAAAGGGAATACACGACGTCTCAAAGTAACTGCTAGCAGCGGGAGACTAATTGAAGTACCAGTCCTACCATGTTGGCTTTGATTAGCCATGTTTCTAAAGTCTAGTCCTGTTACCCCATTGGGAAAACCTGCTTTTGAAACCAACACACCAATTGTGACATCTGGGTGCGGCCTGTTATCCAGTGTGCTGCCCACTTTGTGTCCCCCCTTGCAAGTCGCTACCCAGTCACCCTCTTCAGAAGTGGGTCCTTTTTTCAAAATGTGGACCGGCTTCAGGGTATCGAATGCTTCCCTCAAATTGTGACAGTACCTTGACTTCTGGCGAAGCTGTGTGTCATCAATCAATTCCTCCTTTTTCCAGTCCAGATGTCTCCCACCTTTAGAAACCTTTGTTTGACCCAGCCCTTCCAAGGTGGATCAGAGATGGCAAACATCCGACTGTGTCTATCTGTTATCCATCAATTACCAAAAAGGGGTTGCCTATAGATCTCCTCCCACCAGGACGGTGCCAAGTGTTGTAACATCGACTAGAAAAGGGTCGTTGGGAACGCCCATTCTTGCTGCTGGCCTATCGTTACCAGGTTCTCTTTTGGAGTCACGCAGTACTGGTCAGGTCCTGTCCTCCAACCACTTTTCAGGGTCTATGCCCCTTGGGGCCTCTGGCGCCAGCCTGGCTATCTGTTCCATTGCCAGGGCCCTCCATGGCAGTTCCGCGATGAAGATCAGTTCCTTGATCCATTGTAAGAATAGTGCCTTTATCTGAATGGCAGGATCAATGATACAGTCCTCATCCACTTTGGTTGGGTCACTGCACTCCATGCCCCCCTGCTAATTACATGCTCATGCTCATGGTTGCCGCCCCAAAGAAATACAGCCACCTGTCTCCGAATTGAGCACAGCGTATCCTTAAAAAGGACCCAAAGCATAGATTGTTACCAGAGCAAAGCCAATACCACATTATTGATGACGAGCGTCGTGCCTATCAAGGATCTATGCATTGTGATAGCATTTGTAGGACTGATTTAGACAGCCATTCGTCATTGGATGCATGTTTCCCTTCCGCTGTCATTGAGATTCCCAAAACCCGGACGGGGGTTGAGGGGGGAGCGCCTGTGCGCCCTCATAACACTCTCCTACACTGTATTCCCAGCATCTGTTCACACGCGCGCTACTTTGGATCTCCCTGGATGTCCCACACACGCACACACTTCACAGAACACTCACACACACACACGTTATAGCCTATCTCTAACCTACAGCAGCTATGGCTGTCTTCTACCTTCCCTACTAACTAGCGGCTATGGCCGCTTCGTCTCCTTCACATCCCAGTTCTTCTTTGGGCACCTGCAGACCTCCTTGCACAAGACACTCAGGCAGCGCTTCCGCACGGCTCACAGGCAGAATGAATCCATGACTGGACGCTGCCTCTTGATTTATACTTCGGTTGGTCACTGGTCTGTCCCTTTCCATCAGGCCCAGGGTGCACACAGTCCCACATGGTACTTGCTGACTGGACAAAGTGCGACTGGGACTGGGTACTGCTGACTAGGCGAGGTTGGACTGCCCACTTGCCCACTTGCCTCTAGCCTAACCTAAGCAATTCTGGAAAGGTCACTTCCGGACCTTCTGGAAGTCTGTAGACTTGACCTTTCGGGACTGTAGCAGCTACAACTTCTACACAGCTAAGACCCCTACTTGACCGACCTACGGTTCAAGACCTGACGACCACACTAACCTGCGACAGACAACAAACGACTCCAAAACACAGATCTCGGGTTCAAACACTCATGGGTCAACATGGTACCGTACACGAGTGAGGGCAAGGTCTCAAGGGATCGAGCCCTGGGATCTACGTCTGCTACTGCAAAGGTGAAAATCGTTTCACTCCCTCCGGCCTAAATTTGAGGTCCTCTAAGAATATGTCAACCTGCAGTAGGCTCTTTACCTTTCTTAATTCTTTGTACTGTTTTTGTTGACGACCTCTACCTCCTGTTCGGTATACATCTTCACCTACTATGCGATCAATGGCGTACCTTCTGTCCATATCTGAAGGAATCATTGACCTTCTCGATGGGAATTGATGACTCGTAGTGCAAGGCAACAACTTTGACGCATGAAAAACTGGGTAGATGTGGAGGTGTGCTGGAATCTCTATGTTGTAGGACGGCCCATCATCTTCGCCCTTGACTTCTAAGACTGTCCACGGTCCTTTATATGAGGGCAGCAGC